TACCAAGATTTCTTTGTACATAAATATAATATAATCATCTAACATAATGTAATTGCGCCTGGACTCTTACGGAGTACAGTAACGTGGAATGATGTGTTTACATGTGTCAAATAAAATTCTTCCACATTCATTCTGTCGATATACAATATCGATTTTAATGTCTCATATTATTCTACCTATTGCAGAATTCGCAATTAATGCCATTTTTTGTTCGTAAATTTCATCTAATATTATTTAACGAGCCTGAAATATTGCGGATTTCCAATACGTGGAATGAGGTTTACATATGACCATACAAAATTTTCTACATTAACACTGAAAACATATAATATCGATTTTATTACATGTTTCGAACTTGGAATGTTGAAAATATATGTCATTTCAAAGTTTCCCAAATTCAGGCTGTCAATATACATTTTCGATTTTATTGTGTAATATTATTTTACGCATTGCGAGATTTGTAATGTACGCCACTTCTTGTACGTAAAACTCATATAGTTATGTATTGCGCTTAAAGTAATACCGTATACAGCAACGTGGAATGTTGTTTACATATTGCAATTCAAAATTTACCAGATTCATTCTGTCTATATACAATATCGATTGTATTGTATTGCATTATTTCACGCATTGCGGAATTCGCAGTGTAAGCAATTTTTTGTTCGTAAATATCATCTAATACTATTTAACGAGGCTGAAATATCGGATATCCGACAAGAGTAACAAGTTTACATTAGAGAATCCATACTTTTCCAAATTCATTCGATCAATATACCATACAGATTTTGCCCTATAATGATGTCCTAATAATATTCTTCGCATCACGGGCTTCACAATGACCACCGTTTCTTTGTACATAAATATCGTCTATTACTATCTCTCTTGCCTGAAATATTATGGAATACAGCCTCGTGAAATGTTGCTTATACATGTCAATTTAAAATTTTCCAATTTCATTCTGTCAATATTCCATTACGATTTTGTTGTCTTATATTATTCTAACACTGCGGAGTTCGCAATGAATGCAATTTTCTTATTCGCAAATATCATCTAATATTATTTATTGTGGTTTATATATTACGGAATACCGATAGATGGAATGAGAATTGCAAACGTCTATACAAAATTTTTCACATTATTTCTCAATATGTCATATAGATTTTATGTCCATACATTTTACTCATTGCGTCATTCGCAATGCATGCAATTCTTTTCCACGTATATATCGTCTAATATTATTTATTGAGCCTGAATTATTACGGATTTCCGGTATGTGGAATGAGGTATACATGATTTATGATAATTTATGATAATTTATCATACCGATTTTAATGTCTCATGTTATTTTACGCATTTCTGGATGAGCAATGAACACAATTTTTTGTTCGCAAATATAATATAATATTATTTAACGAATATGAAATATTACGGAATTTCGGATCGTAGAAAGAGGCTTATATATGGCCATTCAATATTTTCCACATTAATTCTGTCAATATATCATATCGATTTTATGGCATTATAATATTTTACACATCACAAACACCACCATCTTGTTTAACATGAAAATCATCTATTCAAGGTCTATCGTGCCTGAAATACTACGGAGTACAGTACTAAGGATGGTGTCTACATATATCAATTCAAAACTTTGTATATTCATTCTGACAATACACCATATTGGTATTATCGTCAAAAATTATTCCACGCATGCGGAATTTGCAATGAACGCCATATTATACGTAAATATCATCTAGTATTATTTAAAGAACCTGAAATGTTACGGATAACCGGAACTTGGAATAAGGTCATTCATACGACCATTAAAAATTTTCCTCACATATTCAATAAATATACCATCACGATTTTAAGGACTAACAATATTCTACATATCACGGAACTCAATGACTTTCGATGTTAGCCATCAGGCGAGGAACGTCCTTCTAGGTTAGCAAACAGGAAGAGTATCTTCCTTTGATGTTAGCAATCAAGTCGTGAAAATATGTTATTCAGTTTTACCCCTCAGACCTAGAAACAGAAATCGAAGTTAGCGGTCAGGCTGGTGGACCAGATTTGGTGATAGCCATCTGGATGTGGAACGAACTTCGATGTTAGTCATCAAGACGAGAAGCTCCTCTCGATGTTGTACACATGTTGTGTACACGGCCGAGACACGAACTTCGATGTCAAGCAGCAGGCCAAGAGACGAATTAGATGTTAGCAATATGGCCAATGTACGTACTTCGGTATTAGCATTCAGGCCGAGAAACGCTCTTCGATGTAAGCCGACAGACCGAGAAACGACATTCGATGTTAGCCATTAATACGAGGAACGAATTTCGATTTTAGGCATCAGGTCGTCAATTTTCGTACCTTGTTAGCCATCAGGCCAAAGAAAGCACAACGATATTAGCTATCAGACCAAGAGACGTAGTTCATTGTCAGCCATCAGGCCAATATACAACATTCGACAATATACATCAGGCAGGGTAACATCATCCGATGCTAACAATCCGACAGATTTCCTCCAAAGATAGCTATTAGGCCGAGAAACGTCATTCGATATTAGCCATAAAACCGAGAAATGTAATTCTATGTTTGTCATCAGGACGAGGAATAAACTTCGGTGTCAGCCATAAGGCTGAGAAACGTAATTCGATGTTAGCATTATGTAGATAAACGACGTTCGATGTTAGACATCAGGAAACATACTTCGATGTTAGCAATCAGGCTGAGAAACAACCTTCGATGCAGGCCGACTAAGAAAAGTCGTTCGATGTAAGCCATCAGGACGATAATCGTACTTGCAAATAAGCCATCAGGCCGAGAGATGATATTCGATGGTAGCCATCAATTCGAGGAACATCCTTCTATGTTAGACATCGGTCTGATGGCAGACGTTCGATTTTAGCCATAAGTCCGAGTTAGTTCCATGTAAGCCGATGGAAGTCCTTCGATCTTAGGAATCAGGTCGGAAACGTCCTTCGATGTTAGCCATCGGACTGAGATACGTACTACGTTGTTAGTCATCAGGTCGAGTTACGACATTCTATGTTTGCCATCAGGGCGGGAAACGACATTCGATGTTAGCCATGAGGTCCAGTAATTCGTTTGTAGCCATCAGGACCTGAAGCTTACCTCAGTGTTAGCGTTAAGGAAGAAAATCTGCGAACAATGTTAGCCATCATGTAGAGAAACGTCCACCGATTTTAGCATTCAGGGAGATATAATTACTACGATGTTAGCCATCAGGCCGAGAATCGAACATCGATGTTAGACATCATTCCGAGAAACTTCCTTCAAAGTTACAAAATCAAGTCGAGGATCAATCGTCGATGTTAGCCATCATGTTGAAGAATGTACTTCGATGTTACCTACCTGTCCGAGATGCATCCCTCCATGTTATCCATCAGGCCGAAGAGCGACATTTGAAGCTAGATATCATGCCGAAGAATGAAATGTAAGAAATGAACTTCAATCTTACATATCAGGCAGAGATACGACCTTCGATGATATCCATCAGGCTGAGAATCGTACTTAGTTGTTAGCTATCATGTCGTGATATAACATCCAGAATTTGGTATCAGGCCAAGAAACGATATTCGATGTTAGCCATCGGTACGATTATCGAATTTCGATGTTAGCCTTCAGACAGGGGAAGTTCCTTCTATTTTAGACAACTTGCTGGGAAACGAAATTCGACGACAGCAATCAGTACGATGATCTTTCTTCTTGTCAGGCATAAGGCCAGGAAACGTAATTCGGTGATAGCCATCAGGCCGAAAAGCAACTTTCGATGCAGCCGTTAGGCCGAGAAACGATCGTCGGCGCATTGAGAATGATGAAGATCGTACGTCCATATTAACCATCAGGCTGACGAACGCACATCGATGTTAGTCAGAAGGCCGATATACGACTTTCCATGTCACATTTCAGACCGGAAAGATTTATTCGCTGATAGCCATCCGATAAAGAGAAGTAATTGCACGATAGCCATCATGCCATGATCCTGATTCGAAGATAGACATCAAACTTCTATGATATCCGTCACGTAGAGAAGCATCCTTCGATAATAGCCACCATAACGTGATACATCCTTCGATGCTGGTGATCAGGCTGCATACCGTACATCGAAGTTAGCCATCAGTCCGAGAAGTGTTCACCGAAGTTTGCAATCAGGCCGAGAAACGTAATTCGAAGTTAGCTATTAGTCCTTCGAGAATCATCCTTCCCCAGCATTCGACGTTAGGCATCAAGCCGAGAATAGGACCTTGATGTCAGCCATTCCGGAGGTGGCTAATACCTCCGTTTCACTCTATCAATAGATTATCTCCCTTATCAAAGGGAAATTATCTATTTGTACAAATAA